TGGGGGGTGGGGGGGAGGGTTTGGACTGACCTCGCGGTTGGAAGAGGGGGGGAGGCAAGGTGGGGTACTTTGATTGACAGATAGTGTCGTGAAGAATATTTTTTTTTTTATTAACTGAAGATATTTGTTTTAGCTCATAAAATTCATACAAATTACCCGGTCAGAATATAATTTACATGGCTGGAATTCTTATAATTTGGTGATCATTTTGAATATAAACATCATATATTTTGCATTAGACATACAAATTTTAGATAAAAAGTTTTCTCTGAGTAACTATGTTATCTTTTGTGCAAAATATATGACATTTGTATTCAAAATATTCCTGGTCTTACAAGGAATCCAGCAATGTCATTTGTATTATCCTAACTTTAGTTTGAGGTATTATTTATTAAAATTTAGTAGTTTTCCCCCAAAAATTTCTCAGAGAGGGAAGAGCCGGCAGTGTAGTGTGAGAAGAGGGGGAGGGAGTTGAGTCCATTATTTGAATGGACATTAACTTGGCGACTGTATTTCTCTATTTCTCTTAAGTATTAATTGTGTGCATGTACCATCATAAAATTAAGATGTTATTTTTACTACAACATAGTTATGTGTCTTCAAAAAGTGGAGTTTGGGGGTCGGGCCGGTTTCTATTGGAATTAATCCCATATGTTCTGTTGTTCACTTAACGCGGATTTCACTTAACGCGGGACTCTCTGGGTTCTATTGACCGCGTTAAGTGGGGTACAACTGTATTTCCCCTATTTGAAATCGTTGGTTATACGAAGCAGCGAACAACAGGACGTCGGTTTTCAGGGTACACCTGTATTCTGTGTGGGAGATGGAGTGTACGGTATCTGAGAGTAGCAGGCAGTTTGGCAACACACCGTGACTTGGCAGACTTCTGTCCACCTCATTGCAGACCTTTAAATCACACAAGTGTTCCAACACCAAAAAGAGAAAGTTTAGAAAACCTTATTCAGTTCTTATACAATGGAGGGTTTGCATGCAAAGAAATGGAGTGAAAAAAATACAAAACTACGTTTGGGTGCATAGCTGTGAAGAGGAAATGGCAGAGAAGGGAGTTGAAGAAGAGAGTGTTGGCTGGACTGAGACTGAAAGAACAACTCACTCTCCCACACTTGTTGGCCAGCTATCCCTTTGACATGGTTTTATGCAATTTAACCATAATTCCCATATTATTTAGGTTCATTTGGTGCTGGTGTTGTTAAAACATTATCGTAAAATAATAAATAAAAGAAACATCCCACACTCAACCCTATATGAATTACTGCATCATATTAAATTCCCAGTGGCTTTGTTTAAATAGTGCAAATAGCTGAATGCCTGTATAGTGTTATCTCCATTAGCTGGAACAATTGGTGCAGAGCACTTTCGGGAATGAGATATTTCCGGGTAACCAGACGACTCTCTCAAAGCCAGAAAAAAATCCCTCATCTCTGGAATTTTCCGGGTACAGGAGAACGTTGATATAACACGAGATACGTTCCAAGAGAGGTCGCTTTAAACCGAATTCGCACTAGATCGAAGATTTGTTTCAATGGAATAATTTAGTTTGGTACTTCAGAGAAACACAAAATACTAAAAAGACTGAGAGTCTACCCAGATGCATCTCAGCCCATCTCCTAGAATAAACAAAACATTGTTTTTTGTAGTATTATGTTAAAACAAACACTCATAAATCAAAACAGCCAAAATTATGGGACATGAAATGGTCTGTTTACTAGTGATCAGCTGATGAGAAGATGGGGTGGGGGAGGTGAGCTGATATGTTTGACAGTTAATGCCAAGATCTTGTGCTTATTTATTTATCTGTCCTTAAGAGTGACTTTAAGTTTTTCTCTTATGAAATGTCACTGAACTGACATGTTCTAATTAATTTTATTACAAAGGGCAAAAAATTTTATCTTTTGTGCAAAATATATGACGTTTATATTAAAATTATTCCCTGTCTTGCAAGGATTCTAGCAATGCAAATTATATTCTCCTAACTTTAGTCTCTGATATTATGTAAGATAAAAACTGTAAGCTTATAATCACCCAACCCTGGCTGGGAAGATGGGGTGGGGTGACAGTGACACGTTTGACAGTTGGCGCCGAAGGTCTAGTGAAGTATTTATTTGTTTATTTATGTCCTTTTGATTGAGTTTTTGTTTTTTGCTTATAAAATGTCATAGAAGTGACTGGGGAGAATATAATTTACATTGCTGGAATTCTTATAAGATAGTGATTAACTTGAATATAATCATGCTATAGTTTGCCCTGACAAAAATTTTAGTAATCATTCAGTACATTATTTTGAGTACATGTACAGTACAGCTTTGCCCTTAGGACAGTGTAGTGTGCCCAGAGAAACATTAAGCGTGAATTTTAAAATATGATGCGCCAGATTGACTCGCACAAAATAGGAAAGATTCACTTTAAATTAAAACAATGTCCTTAATTGTGGGTGTCGCTTTAAATCAATAATTTTAAATTGAATTGCTTTAAATCGACGTTCTACTGTACGTAATGAAAAAATATTCTCAGAAGTTCCAGAATTTACGCATTACATCATCTCTCAAACATGGAAAATATCCCCCATCCCAGAATTTTCCAGGTACCGGTAAAATGTTCTCAGAATTTCCGGAAAATGCACCTGATTTTCACCTCTGAAACCCGGAAAAAAACTTCCCCATCCCCAGAATTTTCTGGGTATCGAGAAATCTTTTTTTCTTCAGAATTTTCCAGAAAATGTGCCCCTCGGAAAATCGTTACGAGAAAATTTTAATTCCGGCTATTTGAGAGTACCAGGTTTGAGGGATTCCGGCTAACGGATACTGTATATTACTGCCATTCCTCACCATGTCATCATGCTTACCACAACAGCTGTCTTCAACACTTATTAAATAATATTTTAGAGTACAGTTGTACCCCGCTTAACGCGGTTTCACTTAACGCGATTTCTCATATAAACGGTGCCTCGCCAGAACCGAACTTTCACTTAACGCGGTTCATCTACTCATATACGCGGTGAAGTATAATATTTTTTTTTTATTTAGCTCATAAAATTCATACAAATTACCCGGCCAGAATATAATTTACATTGCTGGAATTCTTACAATATGATCATTTTGAATATAAACATCATAGATTTTGCATTAGACATACAAATTTTAGATATAATGTTTACTCTGAGTAAATATGTTATCTTTTGTGCAAAATATATGACATTTATATTCAAAATATTCCTGGTCTTACAAGGAATCCAGCAATGTCAATTATATTATCCTAACTTTAGTTTGAGGTATTATTTATTACTAAAAAGGTAAATATTCTGGTTTTCCCACACATCTGGTAGGGAGGGTTGGTGGGGGGGTGGGAGGGAGGGACCGACCGACCATCTGGCACGGTGTGAAGAATATTTTTTTTTTATTAACTGAAGATATTTGTTTTAGCTCATAAAATTCATACAAATTACCCGGCCAGAATATAATTTACATTGCTGGAATTCTTACAATTTGATGATCATTTTGAATATAAACATCATAGATTTTGCATTAGACATACAAATTTTAGATATAATGTTTACTCTGAGTAAATATGTTATCTTTTGTGCAAAATATATGACATTTATATTCAAAATATTCCTGGTCTTACAAGGAATCCAGCAATGTCAATTATATTATCCTAACTTTAATCTGAGTTATTATTTATTACTAAAAATGTAAATTACTATTTTCTCCCAAAGCTTCTCTGGTAGGGAGGGTTGGTGGGGGGCGGGGAGGATGGTTGGGACGGACCGACCATCTGGCGCGGTTGGAAGAGGGGGGGAGGCAAGGTGGGGTACTTTGATTGACAGATAGTGTCGTGAAGAATATTTTTTTTTTTTATTAACTGAAGATATTTGTTTTAGCTCATAAAATTCATACAAATTACCCGGCCAGAATATAATTTACATTGCTGGAATTCTTACAATTTGATGATCATTTTGAATATAAACATCATAGATTTTGCATTAGACATACAAATTTTAGATATAATGTTTACTCTGAGTAAATATGTTATCTTTTGTGCAAAATATATGACATTTATATTAAAAATATTCCTGGTCTTACAAGGAATCCAGCAATGTCAATTATATTATCCTAACTTTAGTTTGAGGTATTATTTATTAAAATCTAGTGGTTTTCCCCCAAAAATTTCTCAGAGAGGGAAGAGCCAGCAGTGTAGTGTGAGAAGAGGGGGAGGGAGTCGAGTCCATTATTTGAATGGACATTAACTTGGCGACTGTATTTCTCTATTTCTCTTAAGTATTAATTGTGTGCATGTACCATCATAAAATTAAGATGTTATTTTTACCAGAACATAGTTGTGTGTCGTCAAAAAGTGGAGTTTGGGGGTCGGGCCAGTCTCTATTGGAATTAATCCCATATGTTCTGTTGTTCACTTAACGCGGTACCCTGTGGGTTCAATTGACCGCGTTAAGCGGGTGCAACTGTACAGTATTTATCATCACTTAATAAATAATATTGAAGTGTATTATGCACCTACATATACCCTGGTATATATATTAATCAGTTGTCTTATTGTACAAGTAGCCAAATTGAGCCATCATTTATCACTCATAGGTAACAAATAATATTGTTAGAAATGCGTCTCCATATCAAATACTATACTATACAGTTCAGTACAGTATGATATAATAACTCTTTTGTAGGCTGATTTGCTGAAAGCTTTCTAGGAACATATCCTTAACTATCAAAGGGTATGACTGTACAGTAAATGTTTGAATGCATATACCCCTAATTGCATTAATTCTTAAGGGGAAAAATTTTACATTATAAAATATTTCAGCATAAGTTGCATTTCTTTGGAACCCATCCCTGACATATAATGAAGACCACCTGTACCCATATTTGTTGCCTTAGTTTGTGAATGAGAAGTGTGCTACAGTAATTGAGTATGGTTTTCCTCATAACTGACACAAATACTAATAGTTTTCTAATACACTCCAGGACTTGAATGCCTCACATAACTCTTCTCTGGAGCGATCTCTCCTCACTAACAGTATACTGGGAAGTCTGGTTCCGTCCCAGCAGGTAAACTAAAAATGATGGATTTTACAGTTCTTTTATTAAATATTAGGGTAAAATGAACAAATTATATGATCATTATGTTAATTTATTCTACATTTAACTTACTGGTATTCATTGAACATCAAATTATAGTGTACAGTGGTTCCTCGGTTAACGAACGGTTCAATTAACGAAATTTCGGTTAACGAATTACCTCCCATATAAGGATCTTCAATTCGGTTAACGAACAAAACTTTGATTAACGAAATCCTTACGACAAACACGTTTTGTTGCGGGGATCAGCTGATGGGCTAGTCTGCCAATTCAGTAATCTGTTCTATGTTTACATTCGTTTCCAGTGGAGTAAATATCAAGAAAGTTGTGCTCTTTAATATTTTTGCATTTTTTATATAAAAATTATTGGTCATTCTAAAATTTAGCCATCTAAGCTCTGTGTACATAAAGTTTTTCAACTGTTATTTTTGGCTCGGTATTTGTAACTTTATTCATTTATTGAAACTCATTTACATGCATACACTGTCCTAAGGGCAAAGCTGTACTGTACATGTAATCAGAATAATGTACAAAATGACTACTAAAATTTTTGTCTAGTGCAAACTATCACATGTTTATATTCAAATTAATCACTATCTTATAAGAATTCCAGCAATGTAAATTATATTCTCCCCAGTCACTTCTATGACATTTTATAAGCAAAAAACAAAAACTCAATCTAAAGGACATAAATAAACAAATAAATCCTTCACTAGACCTTCGGCGCTAACTGTCAAACATGTCACTGTCGCCTCTCCCTCCCTCCCTCCTCCCAGCAAGGGTTTGGTGGTTATACAGTAGGCTTTAAGTTTTTATCTTATATAATATCACAGACTAAAGTTAGGAGAATAAAATTTGCATTGCTGGAATCCTTGCAAGACAGCGAATAATTTGAATATTAACGTCATATATTTTCCACAAGAGATAAAAATTAATCACTTGTATCGCATTACACTAGTGATTTAAGAGTAAGAATGTATACAGTATGTACGTATATATACCGAAATTTTGTTAACCGAACTGTTCGTTAAGCGCGTGACCACTGTATAATATTTCTGATAAACTTCCTACTTGCTCATATTTGAAATAATGAATGTATGTATCTTTATTTAATTTAGCTAAATATCTTTCTCGTCAGAAACGGTCATCCTAACTATTATTATGAATAAACTTATTTAGAAATACATCATTACTTCAGAACGAAATCAAACAGATTTGCAACAGCCAATCAGCTGTAACTCTTGAGGAGGGGGCAGGGCATCTTTTCTCAGCTGGGAAAAATGCACTATAACTATTTCCAATTTCAATAAGTTAAGAATATAATTTTTAATTTGATAATTCACTATGTCTTTTGGTACCTAACCCGTGAATTATTGCAACTCCACTGTACTGTGTAATAATTATGTTAGATGTACTTCTTCATATAAAAATAAATTACTCCTCCACTCACATATTACTTGCCTTATAGAGTAATCCTGCAACTGTTCCATTTGGTGGAGTGTCTTCACCCCAGCCAGGAGGTAGGTCATCTACATCCTCAACACCAGCAGGAGGAGGAGGAGTTTCTCCTGCCGGAGCAGCAGGTGGAGGAAGCATGTCACCACAGCTTCCCAGACGTAGCTGGGGATCACGCGAGTCATACACCTCAGATGGTGACAGTGGAGTTGGAGCCGAGTCAACCACTTCTAGGTTGGTAAAGGTTTGAGTAATTTCCTTTTAAAATAAGTTTTGCATATTTTACCTATATTTGGCTAACTAATATATTTTTTAATTTTTACACTTTTATTTCTTGATTTTATTTGTGTGTAGTATAATAATAATAATAATGGTTGCCCTTCATGTATGAGGGTGGCTGGCCTAAGGCCAGTAGAAGCTGTTGCCAACACAACAACCGCACCCTAAGTTAATGAGTTGCATGACCCAGTGTCAAAGAATAGTCCGAGAAGTCCAGACAACTCACCAACTGCACTGGCTAACCATTATCTCGGAGCACAATCCACAAATCGATTAACATCCAAGTTCCCAATTACTGCTGGGTAGGTAGAGTTAAATGGCAAGATGTGTGTTACGAGCCCACGGCCTTGCCAGCGGCACACAGGATGCCAAATCCACCGAACATTGCCCGTTAAAGTACCTGTAAAAGAGAGAGAGAGTGAAGCAACATTTCGATGAAGAGAAAGGGAAGAAAGATTATTATCAACTAAAGAAGGAAAGTTTATAGGATGAAATTCCTTTGATTCCACCCTATATAACAGTTGGACAGAAGAAGAGCCAACCCAGATATGAGAGCAGTACTCCAAGTTAGGACGAATGAATCCCTTATATACTTGAAGCAACTGCTCAGGAGTGAAGTAGCTACGGCATCTGTACAGCATTTCCAGCTTTCGGGAAGCAGCTTTAGCAGTGTTGTGGAAGTGTGGCTTCCTTGACATATTAGAGGAAATGGTGAGGACTAGCATATGTATTTTAGAATTTGGCAGAATGATAGCATCCTGAAATGTGATTGGTGGGAGATCATCTAATTTGGAAAGTGTAATTGGTAAATAATGAGTTTTATTACTATTGAATTTAACTAAGTTTCTACCTCCCCATTCGGAGATGCTGCACAGATCTGCATTGACAGATGTAATGATATCAGTTCTAGAAACAGATCTAGTTTGAGACTTAGGGGGAAGGGTAAAATGTGAAGAAGAGTGAAGAGCAGAATCATCAGCGTGAGAATGGATAGAATTAGTCGTAGTGTGAAGTAAATCATTGATAAAAAGAAGGAAGAGAGTAGGTGAAAGAACAGAACCCTGTGGGACACCACTATCGATAGAGAAAGGGCGAGAGTTCGATTCCTCGACAACAACTGCCATGGATCGGTTCTCAAGGAAGCTAGAAATTAGAGATCAAAGTGGGGGAGAGAAACCATAAGAGGGAAGTTTAGAAAGCAAATGCTTTGGAAATGTCGAGAGCCATGACGAAAGTTCCCCATAATCCCTAAGAGAGGATGACCAAAGATGGGTGCAATAGGAGAGCAGATCACCAGTAGATCCCGCCTGGCGAGAGCCATACTGGTGATCCGACAAAAGAGAGTGCAATGGGCAATGGGGCAATAGTTTGAGGGATTAGAATGGTCGCCCTTTTTCGGGAAGGGCTGAACCAGGGCATACTTCCAAGAAGAAGGAAAAGTTTGGGTTTTGAGGCAAAGGCAAAAGAGGTGAGCAAGCACAGGGGCCAGAACTTCAGCACACTCCCTCAGAACATGAGGGGGTATTCCGTCTGGTCCATGCACCTTATTCACATCCAACCTGAATAACACACCAGCAACCCTTGAGTGGAGATTATAGGAAAATGCATAGGTTTAGTAGGAGGAGCAGGAGTAGAACGGATAGAGTTGGAAACGTCTAAGGTGGAATTAGAGGAGAATAAGGTGCCAAAGAGATTGGCTTTATCAGGGGGAGAGTTGGCTATAGAGTTATCAGGTCGGAAGAGAGGAGGAAAAGAGAGAGTGCAGAAGTTATTACAGATGTTTTTGGTTAAGGACCAGAAGGATTTACTAGATGAAGAATTAGTCAGGTCAGCGGTCTTTCTTTTTATAAAAATACGCTTGGCCCTACGAAGAATAGCCTTACAACGATCCCTAGAAGTAATGAAAGAGGAGTGGGTAATAGGAGGAGATAGTTTCATAGCTTGATATGCCCTATCTCTCTCCCTACATGCAAGAGAGCAGGAGAGCTAGATGACATCATAAAGGGAAGATTCAAGATCCGTGAGTCGAGCTATAGGTGTACGTGTGTTGCAATAGGCGCATACACCTCTCTTGGAACAGAAAGAGGTATAAAGGCTGTAGTTGGAGACTTGAAAAGGTTTGAATGAAGCTGCTTTGGTCAGTTGAAGTTCAGATAGTAGTAGTAGGTCGGGGGAAGAGGTTAATAGATGGTGCTCCACAGAAGGAAAATTGGATCTCAGGCCGCGAATGTTGGAAATATGAAGTGCGAAAAAAGTGGTTGAACTGATGTACGTAGGTGTCACGCGGCATGCCACACATGTCTCAGTCCTGCCTTCATGCGTATGGTATCAGTGAGCTGCACCTCACTACCTACACTTATTTCTGTGAAATTTTTATGTTGGATTTGTATTGTTTTTAACAGGGATACGTGAGGGTATTAAGTACTGTACAGTAATGAGTAAAATTATGTAGAGTACAATACATATTTTAAGAAATAGCTAAAATTAAAAAAATTATGAAAAAAATAAATTTGTTATAGGCCTAACTAGTGCTATTAAGTATGAGAGCTAATATATTGCATTTGTAAACAGGTGGGCAGGAGAGGGACCAGAATTTATAGCATTTGCTAGGTTTATTTATTGATTGAATATTATATTCTCATATGATCAGGCTCTTATAGTGTATGAGTCATCATAATTAATAACATTGTCAATAATAGAAAAAATGCAATATATAATTTGACTTGAAAATAAAGGATAAACTCTATCAGAAGGTTATTCACTCAGTATTTATTCCTGGAGAGAGAGAGCTGTCCACAAACTAGCTTACGACAGGGGTCATTATAACCTACTGTATAGTATATGATATGGAATTACATTCCTGACAACATTATTTATTACCTTTGAGTGAGACATAATGGCTTAATTTGGCTACTTGTGTACGCTTAGAAAACTGATTAATATGCAGATGTATAATACTTACACTACAATATTATTTATAAAGTACTGATAAATACACTACAATTTTATTTGTTAAGTGCTGATAAATACTCCACAATATTATTTCCTAAGTGCTGAAGACATATGTTGTGGTAAGGGAGTGTTTATAAGGTGATGAGGGAGCGTGAGAATGATCAGCTGTTTGTGCTTTGTAAACAAGTAATTTAATACAACTGAATGACTCATCTGGGGTTGAGTGTGGATTTTTTTTTTCTTGGTAAAGTTGATTATTTCTATGATAATGTTATATCAACCCAGCACCAAATGAACCAAAGAAGTCCTGGGTGAGGGAGCCTCCCACCCACGCTACCTTCTGTCTGTCTGCTGCTCCCAAATACACACTCTTCTCCCATTTTTTATTATATATTTTTTTGATTCATAAGGCACACAAGCACATTGAAATAACTTAAGCAAATTCTGTCATTACCAGTACAGTAAGTCCTCACTTAATATCATGGTTCTGTTCCTGAAAACTGGGACGTTAACGGAAACGTTAACGGAGTCAGTTTTCCCCAAAGAAATAGATAAAATATGGGATTTACGTTCCTGAGCCTCCCTTTGCCCCATGAACTACATTACACATACAGAAATTCAATGGCATTCGAGCACGACTTGTCTTTGTTGCATTCATAGAAGTACCACTTCCAGCACTAACCTTAATCTTGTCCTGTTGGTCCGAATAGTACGCACTGTTGTAGGAGTTAGACCTAGAGTTGCAGCTATGTTCACAGCACATTCCCCTTTTTCAAATCGGGTTAATACATCCATTTTCGTAATAAGGGTAATGGTCTTAGTACGTTGCTTCTTCAAAACATGAGCATCAGTAGCACTTGATGGGCACTTGGAAGCCACTTCGAATGCTTAGATTACAGTATTAAGAGCGAAAACACATAAACACGCACGAACACTGTGGAAGCCTAACAAAGACTGGGGACGCTTGGGGAAGCTGTGACATTCCGCGAGTGAGAGGTAGTGTGGCAAGATGAGAGATGGTGATGAGCTATAAAAAGTAGTCCGTGCCGACGCGAAAACGACATTACAGTATATTGAGTCGTCGGGACGTTATCCGAATTATTGGTATCTAAAGAGTAGCGACGTTATAATGAAACAACTTTATCGGGGGCAACGTTAAACGATGATTTACTGTACTGTACTTTCATTTAACAAATTACAGTACGAAACAGCCATATCACTGAAAACAGTTGTTGACAACCAGACTTGTGTCTGATTTTCTTGATATAGTCCAGATAAGCAGGGTTATGTCCAGAACCCCCAACTGGGGTCTGCGCTAATTAGTCCAGTGTATCGAGGTACTACTGTATGGTTAAATATTGACCTGAGAATATGTCCTAATATGCTTTGCACATGGCCTCAAAAAGTGCTTAAAATCGGTCATATTTCAAAATTTTCTCAAGTGGCTCACAATGCCTCCTCGAACCCCCAGCTGTATGGACTCTGCGATGCTATTCCAAAACTGTAATGGTCACACTGGTAAATGAAGTAAAAACCCACATTGGAGAAATAAAAGACAAAATCTTTGAGCTGATATACTAAGACCCTCTTCAGCCACCTAACAGAACACATCAATGGAGAAAGACATAGAACGAAGAAATCAGGTCACATGACCTGTTTCCTGAGTGGAGGTAGGGTGGGGATTAGGGATAATCTTCTTGATGACAATATTCAGGATCAGGTCTGGGGTCCACTGATCTTTGTTCAGGTGAGAGTGAAGGAGGGGGGTCGATATACAGCACCCACCCCAAATTGCTATGATTTTTCATCTTTCAATACCACTGAAATATATTTGAATCACATAAGAAATTACGATAGTCATTGGTTCTTTTTTTTAACCACAGTGATTAGCCCCGGGGCAAAATGTAATAATAATGATGATGATGATAATAATAATAATAATAATAATAATAATAATAATAATAATAATAATAATAATAATAATATTAATAATAATTATAATAAAAATAATAATAATAATAATAATAATAATAATAATAATAATAATAATATTATTATTATTATTAATATTAATATTAATAATAATAATAATAAAAATAATAATAATAATAATAGTAATAATAATAATAATAATAATAATAATAATAATAATAATAATAATATAGAACCATAAAGAAATAAAAAAATAAAAAAAAAGATCAAAAGTGAGAAACAATATATGTATGTTGTGTTGTCAATAGTAAGAGAGACAATTGAGACCCTGCAATTGTGTGTAAATGAGGCAGAAAGTCAGATCAACAACCTGGGACTTGTTCACAATTTTTGTGATGCCATATGGCAGCAGGGTCTACCATTAGACAACACATTATGCTTCCAATATCTTCCCAGGCAGTAGTACCTCCCTGTTTGGTAGCTGCCTAATACCTACAACATTTAGTTGTGTTTAATAGAAAAATGTTCTGAACCTGGCTTGGTGGTGGTTTCATGTGTCACTTCCACAGCCATACTCCTGCCCCACTGGAAAAAATTCCTGTATTTTCCCATGCCTCCATATACTGTAGATGTAAAGGTTTTGGTTTAAAAGCACAGGGAAGTGAAATGAGAGTGATAGACATATATAACTTACATTGTCTTTCATGATTTTCACAAATTTAGGGGATAAGGAATGCAGGTGTAAGTTGGTAAGAGTCAGGGAGTGATAAATGATTATACGGTAGAAGACTTTGCACAGTGAAACAGATTTTGTAACTGGAAGAGGGAATAAACATTTAATAGCTAAGGAAGTCCTGTAATTCACTTAAAAATTCTCATGAGTGCTTTAAGTGATTCTTTTTCTACATTTTTTTACTACGATAGTATACTTTTTTGTGAGAGCTGCTGTACCTGTTTTTAATTTACACTATGGGGAAAAGAACTACTGGTAGGTTCAAAGATGAAACACTGACTAAAATTCTAGCTATTATACCCTGTATATCTGTTGTGTCATTCTATCACTTCTTATATCTTCTGAACAGCCGCAAGGCATCTGCTGAAGGTCGACCTGACCTAGACAACAGTGGCAAAAATGAGGGTGAGAGTTTTGGAGGTCAAGAGGTGACACCAGTTGTGTACTCATTTATGGTGGAGGAGTGCATATTAGCTGCCTATACTGCCCGCTCTGTGCCCTGCCCCCTTCATGCGGACCTGCTTTTGGCCCAGATTGCTCCAGACACTGTATGTAGACAAAATCCTGATCTGTTTAAATAGACTTTTCTTGTGCAAAGGTCTATCACTCATAGGCAAGGCTGGTACATAATTCTGAATGATATCAAATAAGTTAGTGGTATGTGTTTTCATTGATGCAGTGTTCCTGATTTTTCATATATTATTGAAAGTTTGTGTATTTTTATATTGTAGATATTATTTCTTAATTCAGTTAATAGTGTGTTTTCTCTGAAAGTAGATTGGTTGTGGGTTTAATTTCCAACTGAAGTGGAGAATTATCATTCCTGCTTGTGTGCTTAGCAATAAATAGATACTGTTCAGGCAAATCTCAAAATTCGTGGACTTGATATCCTTAGTTTCAACTATTCTTGGTAACCTAAAATCGTATTCATTGTTATTGGTATTCATCACTGGAGTAAAACATTAAGTGCTATTTGTGGAGTCTTTGGTGGAGTGGATAATTTTGTGAAGTAGAAGTGACATTTCATATTTGTTAGGTTGACTTTGTAAATAATCAGAGAAAGCCACATGTATGTAAAGTGTATTTCATTTCATATCTGTGTTGACAGAAGAGTATTTTAACTTCAAAATTTTCTTTTTGGCAGGTATTTTTGGACTTGGGTGACCGTTATCTTGTGCGCCCCGAGGTAATCAAGCAGGGAAAGTTACTAGGTCGTGGTGGGTTTGGCTTTGTCTTCCAAGGCACTTGCCGAAACAGAATAAATGGTGCACCTATGGATGTAGCACTAAAAATGTTACAGCCTGTGGATCCAGGCAACAGTGCCCGTCAGAGTGCTATTGTTGCATACAAGGTAAAAGGAAACAAGATTTACTGGTTCCTTTGGTATGATTGATAATGGTTTGATTGCTGTTAACCCCTTGTATATGGGATCCCCTCTGAGCTGAATAAAATTGTCTGGCATTAACCAAATAAAATACTAAAAGTGACATCCCCTTTGTGAAAGGTTTGAATACCAATATTATCTTTTTTGTCTTTATCTAGCAGGGGCCTTTTTATTACAAGATATAGGGGAGTAATTATACAGTATTTCATTACCTAAATTGCAAAGATAAGCTTTTCCATGTAGATAGTAGTAGGGTCGGGATATGTCGCGAGATAGTGTCCAAGGATGTTCGATATATACTAAATCACGATATATAATTACATGTAATCAATGGGGAAAATAGGATTAGGTTCTGGAGGCCAATAAAAGTGACTAAACTTGACATAAAATGGCACAGTCTAAGGTTAACAGAATGTAAGTTACATTGCTGGAATCCTTGCAAGACAGCAAATAATTTGAATAAAGACATATATATTGCACATGAGATAAAAATTTTAGTAATTTGTACTAAAATGTATACTAATTGTACTAAAATTTTTATGTCTATTCAAATTATTCACTATCTTACAAGAATTCCAGCAATGTTAATTATATTCTCTTAAGTTAATTATTGACATTTGAAAAGAAAAAAAACATAAACTCCCCCTATATGACAGATAAATATATACCACTAGGTGACCTTTGTCTGGCTCTGGCCCAGCTGTCAAAATAATAAATCGACTCCCTTCTGACTTCCAGAAAGAGTGACTGTGGTTGTCTTAGGCTTAAAGTTTTGATCTTATAAAATGTCACAGACTAAAGTTAACAGAATATAAATTGCATTGCTGGAATCCTTGCAAGACAGTGAATACAGTTAACCCTCACTTTACGCGGTTAATGTAACCCGCAGGGTCCCGCGTAAAGTGAGAAACGCGTAAAGTGAATAACATAACATATGGGATGAATTGAAATAGAGTCCGGACCGACCCACAAACTCCACTTTTTGACGACACACAACTATGTTGTAGTAAAAATTTTATCTTAACTTTATGATGGTATGAAAAAACAAGTAATATAGAAGAGGTTAGGTTAGGAAAAATAAAGGTTAACATAGGAAAAATAAAGGTTAGGTTAGAAAAACTAAAAGTTAGGTGGAACACTACGGTAGTAGAAGAGATGAGTCGGCATACGGGGATGGAGGCTGGTTCCGAGGCAGAGGGCAGATTACTGGCCCTCAGGTGAATCACCATTACTAGGTGAATCACCATCACTGTCAATTACAGTTGTCAGGGCTTCCCTGACAAATCCCTCAAAGTCATCTTCACTGTCACTATCACTGGCTTGGGCTGGCTGTGGTGGGTTGCGGGCGAAGAACTCGGTTATGCTTTTTTGACGGCTGGTGTTTATGTTGTCTTGATACACCGTGATGTACGGCTCCATAGCCTGCACCAGCCGGGTATGGAAGACTTCATAGCGGTCATCGTCATTGTCGCGGGAAAGGAAGGACTTCATTTTCTCTGCACACTCCATGGCACCCTTAATATCACTATGAGTTAAACTGTGTTCTTCGGAGAATGACGCACCTTCTTCCTCCTCTTCACTGACGTGATCTTCCAACATCTCGTCGGCAGTCACTTCAGGATCTCTGATCACCTCCAGGATGTCGTCGTTGGTGGTCTCGGAGAAGCCTGGAACTGTAACAGTCTGCACAGCTTCTCTGGCAAGGTCCACTGCTACTGCAACATTCTGAACCTCACCAGTCACAGATTGACTCCTCCTCTCACCTGGTATTCCATGCAACACATGTCTCCATGCGTGACGAATTGTAGCAATAGACAGCTGATCCCATGACTCCACCAAGAAGTCCACAGCTTTCTTGATGTTAAATACTCTCCAGAATTGTTTGAACAGTATTTTTTGCTGTGCCAACTGTTGATCCTCATCTTCGCTCTTGCTATCGGTGGTGGTGTCACTCAGGTTACGCAACTCTTCCCTGGTGTTGGTGTAGTCGTTCAGGAGTTTGAATTTTTTTGTTGAGAATGCAGCTTTTACATTACAGATTAACTCTTGGTCCATGGGCTGTAATATAGACGTAGTGTTGGGAGGAAGGAAGACCACTTTTACGTTGGGGTGACGATCTAACAGTAGGGGCGAGTGTCCTGGTGCGTTGTCCAGCAGCAACAAAATATTGAATGGCACATTCTGTCGCTCACAGAATTTCTTTACATCGGGAACAAAACAGTCATCACACCAGGAGAGGGACAGTGTAGAGAACATCCACGCCTTACGTGCGGTCAGCCAGTGGACATTTAGCTTGGTCATGTCCATGGTTTTGTAGGCGTGCGGCTTGCGTGCTGTGTGGATCACCGATAACTTGAGCCTACAGGTACCGGAGGCATTGGTGGTAAACAGGACGGTGATGCGTTCCTTCTGCATCTTCCGGCCCCGAATCCTGCTGGCATTGTTTACAACGAAGGACTTGGAAGGTAACTTTTTCCAGAAAAGACCAGATTCGTCCATGTTAAACACCTGGTCGTCACTGTACTGTCCTTCCTCCATAATCTCACGTAAAAACGGAGGAAATTCCCTAGCCGCAGCACGGTCAGCACTCGCTTCTTCACCACCAATGTTCCGGATCTTAAACCTCTGTAACCACCCAGAGGAAGCATTAAAGGGTTTGGGCTCTGTAATTCCCATCTTTCGTGCCACTGCCATGTACAGTTCAAGTGCGTAGTCCTTAACAGAGCGCGTGTCGACCGCCATGTTCCATCGCGCCTGACGCACCAAGTACCTCACAAGTAATTTTTCTGTCTTGAGAAGCACCTGGTTGTGAAAATACTTGATTATAGAAGCACCTGTAGACTTTGTGATCTTCATGTGCTCCTTTATCTTGGCTGCATCCTTCTTTATTGTTCGAATCGTAGATTCATTCACACCATGCTGGCGCGCCAAATCAACCTGCCTTGTTCCTTTCTCCAACTCTTGGATGATGGTATACTTCACCTCGTAGCTTAAGGAACGTCGTGTCTTCTTTGGCTTAGTGCCGCTGGGTCCAGGTAAGGAAAGGTTTCTCTCTGGGGGTGGTGGTCCGGCGGAAGCCATTTTACGGAACAATGGATGCACGATTACACGGTGTGGCCTTGAGGGATGAAACTGCCGCGGCTAGGTCAAGCGTCGTCTTTCCTCCCTCCCTCCCTCCCCCGGGTGGACACGTCATAATACTTTAAGCCAATTACAGCTAGCAGCAGAGGGGGGTAGGGATGCATGGCCAATCACAGTCCGATACGTCATATGACGTCAGTGATAACGCAACAAAGACACACACTGCGCAACCTTACAGCGCAGCTTGCCCAAGCGGAGGGAGGAGGAGGGAGAGGCGAGGAGCACAGGCAGGCAGGCGGGCGGGTGGCGGGTGGGGCGAATCTAAAAATAGCGTCGCTCCGGACACTCTCCGCGTAATGGGGTTCACGTACCGCGTAATGTGAGCACGTTAGGTTCTGGCAAGGCACCGCGTAAACGTGGAAACGCGGAATGCGGGACCGCGTAAAGTGAGGTTTAACTGTAATTTGAATTCAGACATATATTTTGCACGAGAGAAATTTTTTTTAGCCCTTTGTAATAAAATTACTAATTAAAACTAAAATTTGTATGTCTATTGCAAACTATAGCATGGTTATATTCAAACTAATCACTATCTTATAAGAATTCCAGCAATGTTAATTATATTCAGGGCTGGCCTTAGGAGGTGCGGGGCCCAATTGGGAAAAATTTTGGTGGGCCTCAGGTTCCCAGCCAAGGTCTGTAGAATCATAGAAATATAAATAAAGTCTATTATAGACTTTATATCTCTATGGTAGAATGGAAAGTAATCGAAATGTGCGCTTAAAAAGTGCAAGCGAGTTAATGGAACAAACAGATCTAAGCTACATTTTAATATAAAATTGCATACATGTAAACCTACAAGTAACAAGCAAAATGTGTAGATCACCTCTGAAAAGTACATACTGTAGTTACAATACCACTTGTTTTAGTGACTGTGAAATGATATGGTGTTACATATATATTGCAATGTGTTGTTGTGTGTACTTGACGAGCCGAGAGTAGATTACTCTAGCGCGGGGCCCCCTTAGGCGCGGGTCCCAATTGGGAGCAATTGGTCCAATTGGCTTAAGACCGGCCCTGATTATATTCTCCCAGGTCAGGTCAGTGACATTTTATAAGAGAAAAACTTAAAATCACTCTTCAGGACAGATAAATAAATAAACTGTCAAACATATCACCTCACCTTCTCCCCCCATCTTCCCAGCCAGGGTTGGGTGGTTTTAGGCTTTAAATTTTTATCTTATATAGTATCACAGGCTAAAGTTAGGAGAATATAATTTGATTGCTGGAATCCTTGCAAGACTGCAAATAATTTGAATATAAACGTCATATTTTTTGCACAAGAGATAAAAATGAATTACAGTACCTGTATCACATTACAGTAGTGATTTAAGAGTTCTAGTTTATATATATATATATATATATATATATATATATATATATATATATATATATATATATATATATATATATATATATATATATATATATATATATATATATATATATACAGTATTACCCCGCTTAACGCGCTTTCACTTAACGCGTTTTCGCATATACGCGGTGCCTTGCCAAAGCTGAACTTTCACTTAACGCGGATTTTTCCACAGCAACGCGGTGAGTGTCCGGCTCGAGAGCTATTTTTAGATTCGCACCACCCGCCACCCTGCCTGACTGCCTGTTTTAGCTCATAAAATTCATACAAATTACCCAGCCAGAATATAATTTACATTGCTGGAATTCTTATAATTTGGTGATCATTTTGAATATAAACAACATATATTTTGCATTAAACATACAATTTTTAGATAAAAATTGTTCTCTAGGTAATTATGTTATCTTTTGTCCAAAATATATGACATTTATATTCAAAATATTCCTGGTCT